TAGCCCCAACATATAAAAATTTATTTGTGCTCGTTATATGTAGTACATACTTGAATTACCCAAAAAATCTGCTGAAACCTATAAGATTGCTAGCTAATTACAACCAAAATCATTCGATACAAATATCAGAATGGAGAAGGATAGCACAATGCTCGATTCACAAACAAGTAACTTAATCTAACTCTAGCAGAGGATAAAACTACATAGAATCATTTGATACAGAGATTAGAATTGAGAATGTTCACACAACGTTGATACGATATCAATCTTGTCAGATACAATTTTTAGCAGAGCATCTTTGAACTAAATCAGATTTTTTGACAATGAGAAAACAGGACGACACACTTATTTCCAACACCAATACGAAAGCAACAGCATAGTTCCCTGATAAATAATCTGCAGGTTGACTCAATGGAGAGAATCTATATTCTTGCTCAGCTAGACAAGCTTTTTCATCCTCAGTCTTTCACTCTCAGCCACCAGCTGCTCAGGCATCAAAGGTATGGCTATCGTAAGCCACGATATTATGCAAACAGCAAATGAAAGAAAATAAAATGTACCTCTATTAATTTGTTGACTAGTTGAGATTTCTCCTTGTTTTTCTCATTGAATGCCTCGAGCGCATCTTTGTATTCCTTCTCCTTCATTGATGACAAATATAGATTAATCTTGTTAACAATAAAAACAAGCAAGAGTTATATTAATCGAACAGACTCAAACCTTCTTGCGGGAACTTTGTCCGAGAGGCTTTAATTCACGATTAACCACATCAATTCTCTTGCGTACGGTTGCAACTTCTTTTCTAGCATGGCATAGCATTAACAATAGATGCACAAAACTGGCCAAGAACAAAAGCACAACACAACCAGGTTTCAAGAACACCAACCAAAGCAACCATCTCCATTTCTTTTGAAAATTGAACAAATAGCCACGGGAGCTCGACGACGAGCATAAATAGCAACCAAAAACATAGAGCTAAACAAGATCGAATCAGTATAGTAAGAAAAAAAGTGCATACATATGCACAAAAACTAGCCGAGAATAAACCTGAACACAACCACATCCACACAAAACCAAGCTGGTATCAATTGTAACAAAATTAGGCTCACAAAACTGCATACATATTATACAAACAGCAGATGAAAGAAAATGAAATGTACCTCCATCAATTTGTTGACTAGTTGAGATTTCTCCTTGTTTTTCTCATTGAATGCCTCGAGCGCATCTTTGTATTCCTTCTCCTTCATTGATGACAAATATAGATTAATCTTGTTAACAATGAAAACAAGCAAGAGTTATATTAATCGAACAGACTCAAACCTTATTGCGGGAACTTTGTCCGAGAGGCTTTAACTCACAACTAACCACATCAATTCTCTTATGTACAGTTGCAACTTCTTTTCTAGCATGGCATAGCATCAACAATAGATGCACAAAATTGGCCGAGAACAAAAGCACAACACAACCAGGTTTTAAGAACATCAACCAAAGCAACCATCCCCATTTCTTTTGAAAACTGAACAAACAGCCACGGAGCTCGACGACGAGCACAAATAGCAACCAAAAACCCAACAACATAGAGCTAAATAAGCTCGAATCAGCATAGTAAGAAAAAAAGTGCATACATATGCACAAAAAACTGACCGAGAACAAAACTGAACACAACCACATCTACACAAAACTGAGCTGATATCAATTGTAACAAAATCTGGCTCACAAAACTGCATACATATGCACAAAAACTGGTCGAGAACAAACCTAACCATAGAGAGTGCATCTAAAAACAACCCTACCGATAATTGAAGTTAGCCAATACACTATATACCTGAGCAATGGTAGGAACTTAGGGCTGGCTATCCGCAATGGCTGCAAGATACATCAAATTCCTCTAAAGCTTAGCCAATACAACCAGGATCACAACCAACCAACCAACCAATCAACAAGCCAACAAGACAACCAGCCAAGCCAACCAACATGTGCCAACCAACAAGCAAGTGAAATAATATGTGCCTGTTCAGGCTCACAACCAGGCTCACAAACAAGCACAAAAGCAACCAAAAATCACCCTCCCCCAAACAAGCACAAAAGCAACCAAAAACCCAACAATGAACATGATACACCCACCAGCCAACCAAAAAAGAACCAAAAACACCAACCAGCCACCAAAAATGAACCAGGAAACACCATCCAGCCACACAAAATGAACCAGGAAACACACATCATGCACTAACAATGGACAGGAAACTTAGAAAATTTCCTGGTTGCTAATCGCACTAAGAAAATTAGTGAAATGGGCTCAGAATCTAGTCAATATCATCATTGTTAGCCATCCAGTAATATCAATTGATATTGTAGATTGCTAATCTTAGAAATTTTGACAATCATCATAGCCTAATGTAAATAGTCACCAATGTAGACTCATTTCATAAAAACTTACTATTAAAAAATAGTCAATATTAATGGGCTCAGATTTTGGTCAATATCATCATTGTTAGCTATACAATGCAATTTCAAAAAGATATTATGTTTGGTTGTTAATCTCAGAAATTTTAACAATCATCACAGCCTAAAAGAAAAAAATCAATAATGTAAAACCCCGTAAATTTAAAAATTTTTATGATAAATAATGATAAATATGTTTTATGCTGAAAAATAACATATTTTGATGTTTGAGTATGATAAGAATTGATTTGAGATCAATTCAGTGTATATTTGTGAACATAAGAGTGCAAATGCACAAAACATGCACGAAGAGAAATCTGGGAAAAATGACCAGTTAAGAGTTTCTATGTCTTACACAATGATTAAGTTGGAATCTAGAAAAACTCAAAAGACCAAAGTTATAGGTATCTTCAACAAATTTCCAACAAATCTTAAATCATTTTATTTTGAGGTCGGATAAGAAAGTTACAGCTAAAATACCGAATGTGATTTTTCCAGTCAGACTAGGTTTCCTGGTTCGGGTCAAATGTGTTTGTTTTGGGTTTGTCTCTATAAATACCTATGTTTTTCACAAAAATTTCTCTTTTTTATCATATCTCTGAACCCTAGCAGTCATCCTCTCCACTTAAAAACCCTAGATTTTTTCTCTTATGAATTTTGAGAGCTTTGTGAAGCACAATACCGATATGAGGGCAAGATCATCAATGTGTGACAAGGGAGAACGTATTGTTTACACTTGTGGATTGCTTATTGTTTGTTTCAAAGGCTTGCACATGATTTTAAGGCATGATCTCTCTTGCTCAAATCTGAATTTAAGATTTATTATACATTATATACGTATTTTGACTGTATTGTGATTGGTTGTAGTTTTTAAATTATGATATAATTATCTATATGGATTGTTTGATGATAGATGAGAATAACTGATATTTTAAGGAAAAGAATTAATAGATTATTAGTTTTAAAGATTATTTTTAGAATAATTATGTTGAGAAAAAATTTATTTGGAAAATGAGTTGGTTTTGAATAATCATTAAAATAGATAATTTAAATTAATTTATTTTAAAAAAGGGTCATTTTGAGTTGTTAAGTTATTTCGGCAAAAGAATTATATTTTTGATAATTATGATGATTTAAAGGAATTTATTTATAAAAAGAATTATTTATTTTAGATTTTAAGTAAATTATGATTTTGTGTGGGTAGTTGTGGACTTTGACATTTCATGTGTAAAACAATCGCGATTTTTGATTTTACCTTTAACTATAGTTATATTTGATGTTATTTAGTTGCTGATAATTTTTATAAGTAGTTTTGAGATTCGGATAACAAGATATTGATGAAACCGGACTGTATGCATGTTTTTACTGATTTGTGATTACATTTCATGTTTTGTGAATATTTTACTATATTTAACATGTCTGCTTTTATTATTCCTGGTTGTGTTGAGAACCTTAGTAGTTCATGACTTAGTGACCTCGTGTGTCATGAACAGACTTAGTGACATGTGTGAGTGTGTTGACTGAATTTAGATGGTGAACCCGAGTTTCAATGAGGTTTATGGTTGACTTAAAAAATGAGAAGAGCTGGGATGGGAAAGCTCATGTTCATGTGATCGAATAAGGCTGTTAATATATCTTCTAGACTCGCACCATTGAACCGTTTCGCACTGGGGTTAGTTTGTTGGGCCAAGTGAACCGTTTCGCACTTGGTCAGTGAAATCGTTTCGTCACCCGAGTTTTGCTTGAGTTCAAACTAGGCCGAAATCGGATTGCGTGTAGTCCTCTCACCGAACCGTTTCTCAAGTTTGGATGCACGTAGGGGATTTATGAACAGTCAGTTATCCGTTGATATGAGCATTGACTCTGTGTGAGATGTGACCAGTGACTTGTTATAGAATGGCTAGTTACATGACCTCGTTATTTAGATGATTATGAATTCTTGTGAGATGTAGGCCAGTTGTGTTTCTTTTCATACATAGATCGAGATTAATATTTAATTATCTGCAACTTGAGACATATGGTATATACATGAGGGTTTCCTTGTTTGGATTATTTTGCTCGACATACTATGTCTCTTGTCGTAGATTTTTAAGTATTAAGTCCATCTTATTGTATGACCTTGTTACTTGGATGATTTTTGATCGCTAGCTGCACGGTTGACTTGTTACTTAATTGATTTTGTTGGATTTCCAGTTGCACGTCCTTTTGTCATTTCTGTTATCGTATCGTTTTCCGCTTGGGTTTTCGTTCGCTCTATTTATTTTGTGGGATCTTGCCGTGTGTCATGCACGCTGACGTACACCTGTTTTCTCTGGTGTACGTCCCTGGGTTCACACAAGGCTGCAGTCCTCGGTGAAACCAAAAATGTCAAACCTGTCATGCACCACACCGTACAATAACATGTTTCACCATCACAATTAACATCTCTCTAGTAGAGTCAACAACAGGTGTAGGTACAAAAGCAAGTAAAAGATAATACAAGAGATACTGATGGAATGAAAGAGGTCAAAATAATATTTCATTATCCAACATATAGAAATACAAAGTCAATATCTGAAATGGATAAACCGGAGTTCTTATCAAATCTCAAATACAACAAATCTGAGTAAAGGAAGTAAGGCACACAACCTTTACAACATCTAGAATAAAGTCCTCAAATATCTAAACAAAATCTACAGTGGAGCTCCAAAATAAAACATATCTAAAAATAGTCAGCTGAACACTAAAGCGTGTCGCCATCAACCTGCGATTCTCCGGGCTCCTGGCTCGTTACCTGAAAGGGGGAGGGACAACGTGCGTCAAAGCGCTAGCGAGCAACATCACAACCAACCCCAAGGGAAAGGACTCGTTGTATACAAAAAATACAGTATTTACATAATAGTCAAAAATCAGGGCTCCTAGAAAATAATGGATTTTAGTATTTAGGAAACTACAACACGAGCATAGGTACGTCGAGCGAAATAATCCAAACAAGGAAACCCTCATGTATATACCTTGTATCTCAAATTGTAAATCCCTAAATACAAAACCCAAAGTCTAATACATGAATAATAAACTGAAAGAAACAACTCATCTCAATACTTAATCAAAAGTCACGTCAAAACCATATAAGTGTCAAATGTCAATATCACATAAGTGTCGTGTCCAGTCTAGGTAGCTATCATGTCCAAATCTCATGTAATCATGTCATATCCTGATTCAGATAAGTGTCATACTCATAGCTTAACAAATGTCCAAGACGTGGTCAAATATGTAAATGTCCAACATGATAACTGAAATGGATTATTGTCCAACACGAGGACTTTAGTGGATTATAGTCCAACACGAGGACTTCAATGGATTATAGTCCAACACGAGGACTGAAATGTGAATGCATGTCCAACACATGGACTGAATAAAATACGTGTCCAACACATGGACCGAAATGATAAGTATCCAACACATGGATCAACAGTAAGATATGCCCGACAGAACGCCCATCGGTCGACCGCACATAGCGCTGCGGTCGACCGCGAGATTGGCAGATGCCCAAATTTAGGTTTTTCTCTGCTTCGAAAATTGATCCAAACAATACATCTCTGCTTCCAAACGATATATCACATATTCTAACACATATGAATCATCATATAACAACATTTAGCATGTAGAAATCATCACTAAAAATCGTGAACATGTATACCCGTGTTTTAAACTTTATAAAACAATAAAAATCAGAAATTTAACTCTTAATAAAATATTTTCAGTTAGATCTCTTTAACCAAAAATCATTGGTGGGTACTTGAAAACTGAAATACTTAGTTTTCAC